TCCTCAGAAAAAAATGTCTCTAGACATGATTCTGCTCAAAAATTAATGGATGAGGTGAACAGAAATAATCTTGGAACAGCCTTTGGGCAAGTGCTGCGAGTATGCGAAATGTAAGACTGTAATTAAACTTCGAAAATCCTGGAGACTACACTTTCTTAGAATATTGCCATTCGACAAATTATAAGACCTTCCATTTATCTTTAAAGTTTAAGCTATCTGTTATTGACTGAGAAAAGCTGGTTATCCATTGTAGTTAAAACTACAACTAATGCAGTTATAATTGTAATTGTGCCGCCCAGATGGTATAGTGGTTAGGGAAGCCTGACTGCGATACCGAAGGGCCTGGGTTCGAATACCGGAGAAGGCATGGCTTTAACTGTTCGTCCTTTCATAGGAGGCGATGATCCCACATATTAGATGCCTCCATAATAAAGTGACTGCAACTTCTGGCCTTGTATAGACTAATGGAATGTGTTTCACTGTAACTGTTCACAATCTGCCTTTGGGGAAAAAATAATAATAACAATTGTAATACAATGATTGTTCGAATTACAATATAACTTCAAAAGCAATTAGATTTTTCGCTCAGCAGAGTAATAAGTCGTCTTTTGAATACTACTAGTTCAAATCGGATGCCCATTTTGGCAAACAATCTAAATGTTTAGATAGCTCCGTGGATTTCCTTATGTGTAACATGAATACAAATCATTTTATTTTAGAAAGTTCTCTATGAGTACATCAATCTTCTTAAACGTTTCGTTGCATTAAATTAAAGTAAAGATCTTTTTTCCTGCTTTTATTAACGGGTGATGTGAACATGAGCCAGTTGTCCCTTAGAAAGTTCCTCCACAGAAGCATCTTTGCAGTCTTTACCGTAATCCAAATAATATGACAATCATAGGTGCATAAGAAAATTGTACCTTTATTTGTTCTTACGTGAAACAATGATGAAAACTAGTTCATGCAAGTTACTTTCACTTGAACTGAATAAATGCATTTTAACTATTTATGGAAAATGTGTGTTATGTTAAATAAAAGACCACTTCGTAATTTTTTTTTTTTTCCAATGGCAGGTAGTAGCCGTTTATAGACATTGATCACTACTAAGGCCGGTCATGTTATTAAGGAGGGAACTAATACGTGGACCAGCCTTGCCACCTATGAAGAGGACGAAGAAATTACATTCATGCCCCATCCGGGATTCGAACCCTAGGCTCTTCGGTACGGCAACCAGAGTTACACGAACCGCTTTACTGTCTGGGCGGTAATTCATAATAAATGGATTTAGTAAAATGTCTAATACACACAGCAATTAAGCATACTGATTGCTGATCAGAATCATTTTTTTACCAGCTAAAGCAATAGGTTGGATAAAATTATGAGGCTTACGGTTTAGTCCTTGATGATCTCCCTTTCTGAAAAGAGACCCACCAGCGGCCGAGCGGTAAAGTCGCTGAACACTGGTAGTTCGGTCCGAGGTTTCGAATCTCGCGAACGGGCTGGCTGTTTTCGTGGTTTTCCCCATGTGTAACGTGTATACGAGCCAGTTTTCCTTAGAAAGTCCTCCACGAAGGCATCCCTCCTCATAGGCAGATAGCCCTAGTGTGCTTTGCCATAATTAAATAAACCAAACCAAACCTTTCTGAAAAGAAAAGGATAAATGTAATTTTTATGATTTATTTCTTGCGTAATGTAAACAAGACAAGCGTCCCGTAACAAATCCTTTGCGAAAACATCCCTTTGCACTGGTATAAACTCTTTGCTTGCTTTCCCTTAATCTTGTAATTTAAGTTCACATGTATATCGAAGATCATAAACATACATATTTGCTTACTAAGGTTATGTGCATTTCGGTCTATATAAAATAGCCTATATTATTTCCTTTAAATAAACTCCAATTTATGCCTGGTATCACAAACTACAATATATGTAAGATGATTCAGAAGACATGACTGAAAATATTAATATTTTTCTTATAGGTGATTATCCCGTTGTATTATTTAACAAACTAATCATCTAAAATGCAGAAGCATTTTGAATATATACTATGATTTACTGTGCAATTTTCCAAACATTATCACGATTTCCTTAGCCTATGTCACTGAAATTATAAGGGGCAGTTGCTCTTCCTGATTAAATAATTACAATCATCTGCTGCGCAATTTTGATTAAGAGGTTCATTACAATTGAATTGTAAATTTTATTAGATTATATAATTCCAGTTATACTGTTTTATCCAATTAATCAGATTAAAAATCAATTAGAATTAAAATGTAATTATAATTAAAATGCATATGAGTAAATTGTATATGTAATTAAAAATTGTTACATTGTAATTGCAAGATAATTGCATAATATTATTCCAATTACTATGTGTTTTCAACTGCATTCTGTAATTACATTTGCAATTAAGATCATGATTTTCCTGGGCTACGTAACTGCTTTTATCAGAAACAATTGCTATCCTAATTACATTATTATAATTACTTACTGAAGTTTACAATGACAGTCTAATTGTAATTAGATTATATGATTGCAGTTGCATGAATATGAAATTCGATTTCACACAATATAGAGTAATTGTAATTTAAATGAAATTACGTAAATTGTAATTGTAATTAAAAAAACAGCTACTTTTTAACTATAACTACTTAGTAATTGCATAATTTTATTACAATTGCATACTACACTTAGAATTACAATTATCATCATAATTTCACTATGTTAAGTAATTCTAATTATCAGAGACAATTACTTTCCTAATTACGTAGTTATAATTACCAACTGCAATTGCAGTTAAAATTACGTTTTATAATTAGCTAATATTACCGTAGTTGTGATTAGATGCAATAAAAATTTTTAATTGTAATTAGATTATATAATTATATGTTTGTGATTATCATTGCATTGTAATTGTAAGACTAAGAATTAAAATGCAATTACATACATTATTGTTGCATTTAAAAAGTACTTACTTCTAATTGTAATTGCGAAACTAATTACAATTGCAATATAATTGAAATCACATATTTCAAAATATTGTTTCAGTTTCTTGCAATTTTAATTTTAATTCCAATTACATTTTGCCAAACTACATCTAAAATTTGGAGAATAATTAGGCTGGAAAATGAAAATTCTCTTTACATTTATATATAAACATTTAAGTTTACTATAGCTGGTATAAGCACAGAACAGCTGGAAGTTTTGAACGAGCTATTTATTTCGAACTGTTATTCAAAACCTAACGATGAAACCCATTTGCCCCTAGCGAATAGATAGTTTCCTCTCCTCAATTACCTCCCGCAGAGAAAAATTATCACCTGTCAGTTTACATTAAGAGCAATGAGGGGAGGGCATTCTGAGACAGGCCGTATATATGCTGCTTTGCCGTTTCGTGCCAAAATTTAGGTTTACGTATATATGCTGCCTTGCCGCCATGAGGGCCAAAATATTTGGACGCATATATGCTGCCTTGCCGCTATGAGAGCCATTATTTTCGAACGCATATATACGGCCTTGCCGCCTGGAGGGTTAATGTTTGCTTACGTTGCAGCGGCTCAGGCAGGGGAGGCATAGATCATTATTGGTCTTATGACTCAGAGATAGATATGCTTTTTCTTGCCCAAGTCCAATCTTGAGTATTTACCTAGTAGTATACCATAGATCATTATTGGTCTTATGACTCAGAGATAGATATGCTTTTTCTTGCCCAAGTCCAATCTTGAGTATTTACCTAGTAGTTGAGAAGGCAGTGGAAAACATAATTAGTTTCTTCTTGACATGTTGAATGTGATTTCCCCAGGTGAGGTTGTCATTAATTATGATTCCGAAATATTTTGCTCGTTTGATTTTCGGGACCGGCTCGTTACAGATGAGAAGTTGTTTCCACGTAGGTTGGGACTTTTTCTTTTGTCTAATGATTAATAGTTGGGACTTTTGTGCGTTGATGCAAACTTTCCATCTCCGGCACTAGTTTTCAATTTGAGGGATGAAATCCTGAAGTTTGCGAATAGCGTGTTTGGTGTTTGCCGACTTGACCGCAATTGCGGCATCATCCGCGTAGCAAGCAAGCATCGAATTTGAATTTGTAGGAGTTGGAAAGTCGGCAATGTAAAAGAGATATAAATATGGGCCCAGGATACTGCCTTGGGCTACTCCTCTCAGGATAGGTGTTTTCTCGGAAGTGTGCGTACTCACAGATACACAGAAACATTGATTTCGATGAGACGAGTGGATGAGCAAATGGATTCTCTTGGGAGATGAAAGTCAACGAGCTTTGCTATAAGCCACTCATGCCAGACCCGATCAAAAGCTTTCCCTACGTCTAGCATAAGGAGTGCAACATTCAGCTGTGTCGTGCTGCACCGATGATTCTCGCGAGTTGCTTGGTGGTTGAAAAGCTGTTGTCGGAAGCCAAATTGTTACGGCGGTAATTTCGTGAAGTAGCACTTTATTCTATCGAGAATAATTCTTTCATAAATTTTTCCTAGTCCTGAAAGAAGGCTGATGAGACTATATCCGTCAGGCTTAGTGAGATCTTTTCCAAGTTTGGGCAGCACAATTACTTTTCCGTTTTTCCAAATATTGGGGAAATCTGAGTGCGTAAGGCAGGCATTTAGGTTGGAGGTGAATTTAGCGATGATATTATTAGGCAGATGTTGGATGGCGGAATTTACTACCACAGCAGTGCAAAAAGCAGAGTAACTGAGTTAGCGCGTCTTAAGGAAACAGCAAGTAGTGCAGTAATCTGCGCAGATGTTCAGGGAGGAACCGGGTGGAAACTAGCATCTGGAGTGGCTTAGACGCTTGTTCCGCGCGGCAACGCTACTCCCTCCGTGATACTCTTTATACTCCACACACTCTGCATACTTTGTTTTATATTTTAACTCATTTTTTATCTAGCCTTTCAATATTGAATCAGATGACACGAAATGATTATCAGATATATTACATTATTGGATGAGACGAAAAATTACCTATTTTCCTTCTTTTGCCCTGCGAGCAGAAAGACGAACGCGAAAAATGTACGTTTTTCGTCGGTCTTGTTTGCAAACATTTTTTAAAATTTCGACGTTTTTCTCGATACGATGCAAAATTTTCCATGTCCTCCAAATCATTTGAAATTCTTTCAAGTGGATAGGGAAAATATATTGAAGAATTATGATTTATTTAATAGTTTCCCTATCCATTCCGTAAGTATCTTCTGTTTTTTTTTTTTTTTTTTTTGGAAATATTTTAATTTGGAAAGGAAAATGCGAAAGATTTAATCATCAAGTATAGTTTTATTCAAAATATCGATATTTTAACATTAAACTGAACAGTCGTTGATAAAATTCTCTATTTTTAGCCTAAAATTTAGCTAACTATACATGAATTTGCATTATGATGGGATATTTTTACTTTATTGTTACCGAGTAAAGATAAAATTTTTGTTCTTAATGATTATCTGCATTCCCGGTTTCAAAATTTTCTGAAATTTCCATATTTTGCGTGAATTTTCGAATATTTTGTTTCTTTCAATGGTCAAACATCTGCATTTTTATGGATTCGTTGAGAATGGCGAACACTCATCGGTCACTTTACCGTCTTATCATTAAAAATGTTTCTTAAGATGCATCTCATGGAGCGATAGTTTTATACGCAGGAAAACGGAGAAATTCTTTCCCAATTTTGATGGATAATATCCAGGGGAAATATTCAAGGTCTCCCACAACTCTTCCTATATCACCAGTATTTTAAGTGCCTCCATGCTGCACAGACACTATGCAATTACAAATATCTAAGCCATCTCTAGGATTAGATCCTGTTTTCCAAAGAAATGACAGCCAGCGATTCTAACTGTTATACCAATCAAGATAGTATTTTTGAATATGTATATAATAACAGCCAACCATACATACACATACCACCCATGTGGATTTATACACTTTATATTTAACCATCATTTTGCTAATTAATATCTGTCTTTTAATGCAATTTTTTGGTTGTAAAATTTATCATTGGATCTAATGTAGAATTGGGTGCTCTTTCGATTAGCGACAATTTTTTAAAAATTTTGGCGATGAAATCTCACTTCTGGTTACCATGAGAGTTTTAACTTCCTGATTTTATTTAAATGAAAATAGATTCATGTGTACATTTACAAATTTAAGGCAGTGCGCAATGCCTAGTATGTGCAATTCTAGGAATTTTTTTTAAAGTGAAAACAGATCGATGTGTACATGGATGGTGTTTATGCAATTCTTTGACTTCTTATTTTGGTTTTCTGTAGTGGCCATCTTGAAATCGTGCCTTCCTGGCGCCGATCTTTATTATTATTATTATATATGAATATTTATTATATATTTTTATTATTATGTATTATCTGTGAGCAGTAAAGATGTACAAACAAATGTTTTTTTTTCCAATTTACTAAGTCACCAATGAGCTACAGACTTTTCATGGAGGTCAGGATAATCAAAAAATATCTAAATTTCTTTGTTGATATGTACATGTCACAGATATTCCTGTAAATTAACATAAATTTAAAAAATTAATCGATTGTATTAAATAAAACCAATGTAGTCTGTTAAGTCTTATCCTTGTTAAATGGATTATGAAGCATTTTTTATATATTTTAACTGAGATTTCTGTAGCGTTTGTCTTAAATGAGGGGCCAAAAGTGCTTGCATTAAATTTGGCTGTAGAGTCATTAGGTATTTTTGAAGCAGGAAAGATAAAAAATGAGCAGTGTGCTCCCCGGGACTTGAACCCCTGACCTTTCAAATACGTGCCGAGTGCTGACCACTACACCACGAAGGCATGCTAAGAAGGCGGGAGAAATATACCTTATGTACTTTCCCTTTTAAAGGGCAACTGGGATTAGGGGACCCAATTGCCAAATCCTGGTGGTGGAGAATCATCATCCACCACCTTTTTTAGTTTGAGCACCACTGTAGAAACATTAGGTTTTTTTGGATGCAGGAAATGTGAAAAATGAACAGTGACCGCCGGGACTCGAACCACGGACCCTTCAACTACGTGCCAAGCATGCTGACCATTACACCATGAAGGAATGCTAAGAAGGGAGAAGAATTTACCTTATATGGGTGCTTACATATTATTCCATTGACCATGAAAGTTGGCTACCATTGAACTATGGTTATTGGAGATCCCACCAAAGTTGCAGCAGTCATCCCCGTGGAATTGTGAGTCCCTTTCTACAGCTCTTAAATAAGTTTCTTTGCACAATCCACTGAATAGCCACTGCTGTGGAAGTATTTGACTCACTTTTTAAAAAAGGGGTAAAAATGTATTTACGGGTGCCCTTTAGCATAATTTGCAATTTTTGGTGGTACATGAGTTTGTGCAATTCTTTGATTTGTTATTTTGGCTTTGTGTAGCAGGGATTTTGCGCCAAAAATCGCCGCTTCACAAATACAAAATAACAAGTCAAAGAAATTGCACAAACTCAGTATCCATGTACAAATCGACCTATTTTCACTTAAAAAACCATCAGAGATTTGCACAAACTTAGGCATTGCGGTCTCCTTTGACTTTTTCCATGTACACCTCTATCTATATTCATTTAAAAAGTCAAAGGAGCAGCCAACAAAAAATAAATAAACTACATTTTAAATCAAACAATGAAATAACATAAAAACGGAAATTCATCTTAGCACTACACAAAGGAAATATTCACTTACCTTATTTACCAATTTCCATGTCTTCAGTCAAACAAAATTCCTTAACTGCATCCAAAAACTTCCTAAAATTATCTGAACTATAATCTGTATACTGGCATTGCCACATAAATTCACAGAAACAGGAGTCAAATGTATCTTCCGTAATGTCGGCATTCTCCAACATTCAACCGTATGCATTTCCTTCCTATGAACAGGACACTTATATTGGCTCCTAAGTAAACCTCCGTTAACACACGAGTCAATTAATGTTTTTTCCTGTTTCGTTCCAAATCGTACGGAGACTTCAAATTAATCTTACCACATTCAGCCATTTTACAACTTAGCGATAATCCAAGGGGCACCCTTAAATCCTCTCGAACCAAAAAAGGTTTTTGTTGGTGTCTACTATTTTGTTAGGTCCTTCGACTTTATCAGAAGCTCTGTTTAGAACAAACACTATGACAACAAACTTCCCATATGTGATTATTCCAACCTATTTCTGTTTTGTCAGCCATATCCAGCTGTTCCTTCCCATTCAACAAATGTGAATTTATTCAATCAGCAGTAAACGAACCAAGTGCAGTCACAAATGTTATTATACAGCCCTCAGACTCATTTGTATCAAAATGTAAGAAAAAACATTCAGCAATAACAGTTAATTAATATTCTTGTTCATGAAAGCAGAAGTGGTTTGTCAAAAATTAGTCTTGGTAGAAAGCAAATGTTTTGAGTGTAGAATAGAAGAGAAACACGCCAATGTGACAATCAAAATCGGAATAACAACCTTGTATTTAGCGTACATATATTAAAACACTCAATCGATTTCGAGGGCAGCTAAAAGTCTCTCCTCATCAGGAGAACGAAATTACTAGAAAGGGGAAAAAGGAAGAAAAATAAAGCATTGGTTCAAAATCCGGTTACGACCACGTGCAGTGCTGATAACAACCACATGTTTCTGAGACTCCTTTGCCAATGCTTTATTTTTTTTTCCTTTTTCCCCTTTCTAGTAATTTTGTTCTCCTGATGAGAAGGGACCTTTAGCTGCCCTCGAAATTGATTGTTTTAATATATGTATGCTAAATACAAGGTTGTTATTGTGATTTTGATTGTTATGAATGTGTTGTGATGTCATGCATCTCCATAACTAGCCCAAAATTGCACTACTTGGTGATAGTTTCACTTTCAATGGGACAGTACATATATGCTTAAATCTGTTGTCAAGAAATTTGTAAATAGGATTGAGTAACTAGAAATTGTTTCCATGAATAAAAATATTTTTTGTCTTCAGTTTGATTTGGAAAGCAAATTCAATGTTATCCCGTAAAGAATTTACACATTTTATGCTAAAGAGGTTTTCGGCTGATTTTCATAATGTTTTAAAATTAAATTTTTAATCACTTCTCAGCTCAATTAATTAATTTTAGAAAACTGTCTCAAAATTGTGTATTTATTTTATTACATAATGTGAAAAAGATTGTATTTTTAGATGAACTATATGTGAAAAATCGCTTGAATGGCAAAAGTAAAGTATAAAAATAGAGAGATTATAATTCCCTCTCTAATGTTGGTTTTTTGCACAAACATAAATATGTTAGTAAGCTTATTTTACATAAAATATCCATGTAATGTTGCCATTTTTAATGGATGCAAGTAGTAATAAACATTTTACATAGCTTTATATTTCATATTTATTACACAGCTGGAAATTTTAGCTATTTAGCTTAGTATTTCATCTCGGTAGGATCAATTATAAAACAAAGAAAAGCACAGGAAGGAAATTTTGTGTCCACTGCTAATTAAACTCATCTCTGACTTTTATAAAACTCAAACTGGCAAAAGTCTCATTATTGAGATCTGGAATAAACTGTTTTTGGTTGATAAAAGCTGTTTGTAGTTCATTCATAGCTATGTAGTTCTTCAATGATATGGGTTTAGCAGAAATTTAAGCCAGTGTAATTAGAACCAAGACTCTCTGGGATGTTGGATACACTTCCATAGTTTCTGTCAGACATTGTTTTCAAATCTCTTAATTGAGGCTAAATCTGAGACCAACAGAGTACCTTTATCTTATGATTAACAAAAGCAGTCCTCTAGAGGCACTGTAAACAAGTTCTTTGATAATAAATGAATGAATGTTTCCCAGAGATAAAGAATAAATAATACTTAAGTGAACTTTGGTTCCCTTTTTTGAGCATCATTGGGGATGGACGTGTGTACACACACTTAAGTTTGCAGGGTGTTTCTCAGAAAACATCATGGAATGCTTCCTTGCATTATCATACATTATTATTCTTTTATTAGAAAAAAGGAGTGGTCATTGTAGACTGAAGAAAAAAGAAAAGAAAGCATTGATTATGCATATAATAACCATGAAGTGCCAGGTTGACTTGACAGACAAAGGTGCAATCAAATCTTCCTGCTGGCAAGAAATAGGAATTTTGAATTTGAGCAAATCATTGGGAGAAACATCTGTTATTTGCTGTTAGTGTGGCTTGTAACATATGTAAAATGGCTAAATAAAATGATTTAAGCCTTTAAGAATAAATTGCTGAAAGATTATATGTTTGGTAAATGCAGCCGAAGTGCAAAAAAGACGAAAAATCGAGAAACATTGAAACCACTCTTCTAGAATGGTTTCAAGCTATGGAACTAAAAAATGTTCCAATTTCCAGAGCTCTTTTGACCACAAAAGCTGTAAAATTTGCCAAAATAGCCAATTTTTATAGAGCATTGCTAAAGCACATATTAATGTTTAAATATGAAAGAGCAACTGGTGTTAAGAAATTAAAAGAATGAGTTACTGTATTATTAACATGCAATATGGTTACAACAATTAAGAAGATGGCAGTGATTATTGGAAAGAGCAGAAAACCTCAATGTTTAAAAGGAATCAAGAGAACCCTTAACTCACCATCATAACAAGAGCTTATGGATGATAAGCAGTACTTTTACTGATTGAACTTTTACTGATTTGAAATAGGACAGAGAACTGAAAAACGAAAACATAGCTTTACTGTTAGATAACTGTGCTGCCTACCCCTCTGATATCGTTCCAAAAAACATTAAATAAGTGTTTCTTCCTGTAAATATGACTTTTCTCATTCAGTCCAAGGTATTATAAAAGCTTTCAGATTTAATTACTGAAAAGATGTCATTCAAAGCAAAGATAAACAAAATTGAATCTTGTAAAAATGTGAGCCCTTTGAAGATGTTTTTGCTAGAGACTATGCACATTGTTACGAAATGTACAGGCATGGTAAGATGGCTTCCCCACAAAGCAGGTTTAGTGTTGCCACATTTGGCAAGAAATTGCCCATTTGGCGACAAAATTGGCAATATGCCATGGACTGAGGGAGAACTTTCTGGAAGCCTAGAATGTTCTCGAACACAAGCCAAAAGCTATATAAACCCTGCTGGTACGACGGAGAGTTAGTATCAAGTCAGTTAGTTAGTCCGTGCAGAGTCCATCAAGTTGAAAGTCAGTTACTGAGTGCTGAGTTGGTTGTCGAGTGCACTGAAAGAGTCTCTCAGTGTATCGAGATTAGTGCATTGTCGAGAGAGTGTGTTGAGCTTCGGGAATGACTGAACTGAGGAGACGGGAGCTGTACTCTAGTGTAGCGTTGAGTGTATCGCGAGTTGTAGCATGGAGAGTCTCGAGAGTATGTGGAGTTCCAAGAATGACCGAGCAGAGTCGGGGGCTGTGCTCTGGTGCTTTGCAGTGAAGCTGTCTTCACCGTGATAGCCTGAAGGCTGTGTCGCTGATTGTTCCAGCGTGTTTATAGTAGATCTTCGACGAATATAAAACATGTTATGGAAGCTGTTTTGAATAATACCAGCTAATAAACTGCATTTAGGTACTTGTCATTATTTGCTCCAAATCCACATGAACCCATACCATATGAATGTAAAAGAAGAAAAATAATGTAACAATTGGTGTCGGAAGTGCGATTTGCAATCAAATGCCAGTGACCCGCCTGCAGAGGAAAGCAGTGGCGGAGGAAACGAAGACTGATGGTCTTCTTAGCGGAGATAAGGGCTGAGATAAAAGCTGGATAGGAAGAGATGAGAGCTGAAATGAAAGCCAGAGAGGAAGAGGTAAAGGCTGAGATCAAAGACCGACTGAAGGAGATGAAAGCCATACTGGAAGAGAACGCTGGATGAAAAGAAATAAATGTCGGCCAAGAAAAGATGCAAAAGCAACTCCCACGGATGAAAGTGGAGCTTACGGAAGAAAGGAGGAGACGGGAGCTGTACTGTAGTGTATCACAGAGTGCATCGCAAGTTGTAACGTCGAGAGTATGTGGAGCTCCGAGAACGACCGAGCAGAGTTGGGGGCTGTACTCTGGTGCTTTGCAGAGAAGCTGTTTTTACCGTGATAGCCTGAGGGCTGTGTCGCTGATTGTTCCAGCATGTTTATAGTAGATCTTCGACAACTGTAAAATATGTTATGCGAGCTGTTTTCAATAATACCACCTAATAAACTGGGTTTAGATACTTTATCAAGTGCTGATGTCATTATTTGCTCCAAATCCATATGAATCCATAACGTATGAATGTAAAGGAAGAAAAATAACATAACAATATTATAATCAATGTATGGGAAGCAGTCTCCCAAAACAAAAGAAACTGCTTTAGAAAATGGAGTTTATATTTAGAAGAAGCCACAGAGAAATTGCAAACTGTTTCTAATATTTTGGCCATCAGTTAGGGAAATTACAAAGATTTGTTTTCAGAATATGTTGCAATTGATGATAATATTGAGTCACCATGGGAAAGGGTTGAGCACGATATAATAAAAAGTGTTAAAAGAGCTGTAGAAACTAAAACTGACAGTGAAAGTGATAAGGAAGAAAGTGATTATAAGCCAACTCAGTTGAATCAAAAAATGCACTGGAAACTTTAAGAAGAACTTGTGAATTGAAAGATGAAGATAAAAAAAAAAAAAAAAAAAGCAATCAACAAATTTAGAACTTCAAAGCACAATTGAAAGACTTCTGAAAACAAATAGAAGTAGAATAGTTCTTTGCAAAAGTTTAAAATTTTATCAGGTTATATTATTATAAATTTTGTCATGAAAATTAAAAAATAAAATAGTAATGAATAGTTTAATTTTAAAATTAATTTGTATTTAGTAACTTAGGTATTAATTATTAGATTAATTTTTAATTATTTTGTTACTAAATAAGTTCTTGCCTGAGTTTATACCGTAACCTGCAATACTCAAATTGCCATTTATTAAACTCAACCACTTAATAAATAAATTCAAATATACTTGGAGCAGAAGTGATTTTAATATGTGGCAAGCACTAGGAACTAGTAATTTTAGAACTGGGAACAAAATTATTTAAACATGCAAATTACTGTAATCTAATTTAAAAAGCTATTTTATATATTTTAATAACAAGAATTTAAAAATTTATAAAGAGATATGTTTAGCAAATGCAATGCAATGTATCTCTGAGGAGAAACAAAACAAAACAAAACAAAAAGTTATTTCACTATAAAAATTATAGCCCCCCCCCAAAAAAAAACACAACTTAGAAACTTGTTTTTAAAGTCAGCTACTGCACAGGGGGAAAAAAAAAAGTCATCTAAAATAAGTAATATGGGTTAATCCAAAGCTAAAATTTTGGAAATGAGATGCTCATACCATGTACAAGCAAATCTGGCTGCTCAAAAAAGGGTTGTCTGTATGACAGGGCAAAACTGGTAAGTGATTAAGAAAAGTTTTGTATTTTTTCAGCCGTGTCTTCAAATCAATTAGCATAACTTTATAAAATGTAAATTCAAAGCAAGTTGCCCTGTTTGCTTGGTTGGGGGGGGGCAAGGAAGCCCAAATTTGAATCACAAGAAGTAATAGGGGAAGATGGGAGGGAGATTCTTGGTTCTCTTCTCAGGAGTGTTCCACATCAAAATTGGGACAGGACTTCTCCTTCTTCCCAGGTATGATTATTCACCTCCTGGACAATGTTCTCAGTGATGAGATGACTAAATGAGTGATAGTTTTGCATTTCTCAATGAAATGTTGATTTGCAAGTATCTGGCTTTTTGAAAGAAGAGCATGTTTCAAACATTGCATTTGAATGAATTAGTTTTTATGTTAATGCAAATTGCAAACATCTAGCATTTCACATTAACACTATTATAACATATTACAATGAAAAAGCACACACAGAAGCACAAAAGAAAGGTATAATCATGAAAACATTATGCAGACAATGTGTTTTGGTATTTGTAAGAAATTTTGCATGACAGAGACTATGGGTGTTTTCTGTTATGCACCTGCCATATATTTTGGCTGGTTTTTTAAGTGTATAGTTTATAGATACACATGCTGCCCAGATGGTAAAGTGGTTAGGGGAGGCTACTGCAGTACCGAAGGGCACGGGTTCGGATCTCGGAAAAGGCCGGGAAACATACCAGGTTCTGTATGTTTGGAAATGTGTAGTATCTTTGCAGGCATGGAAGCACTCTATTGTGAGCCGAAAGACCTCTCAAGTAGTTTGGTGGTAGGGAAGAGGGGTGGGAGACCTTTGGACCACACTTTAGGCTGCTCTTCATCAAAATTGGGGTGGAAGTAGAAGTCCAATCTCCTTGAGGCTCTGGCAAACATTCTTCCATGAAATACATGGACAAGACAACAACAACAACATAGATACACACCCATCTATGCAGCAATTGCACTATTGTTGGGTCTCTGTGTTTTTGGCTTCTCCTTCACAAGTGCCAAAAAGCATGATAGTTGCATAATGGAAGGGTATCATATGAATCAGGTTATGATAATCGAATTAGTTACACTTGCTTATAAGTGTCATGAATAAAAAGTAATGCACTTATGCAAAATGACTTTGTTATGAATCAAAATTATTGATTCATAACAAAGTTTTAATGTTGGTAAAAGCAATTAATTAGGTTTAAATAGAATCTGAGATTGCAGTTTTAAACTATTCCTTTTTTATTTAATTGGTGTGCATCTTTTATTGCTACATACTGTTTTTAAAATAGATGTTTGACTGTCAATTTTTATTATTAGAGCATTCCAAATTGATTTATTGATTCATAACAAAGTTATAAAATTATTTTGTTTTAGGTACATCTTCTAATTCCTGCACCAAAAAGTTTCATTGAGAATTATGAGGGAGTACTAAACTCGGATGATGCTATTTATTTTCTAGCAAAGCAAATTACAGCTGCATCTCTTATTGAAGAAGTATTTCTAATGCATTTTATTAAAAATGGTATATTTATTTTACTCAATCAGTGATCATTTATTGCTTAAACAGCACTATGAATTTTGCTTTTAAAACATTTTTAATGTACCTTTTTTAAGTTTGTTGCTTACATTACATGAACCTCTTAGTTCTGAATTAGTGACAGGTAGATGTTTTTGAAAATATTTTAAAATCTGAGTTTATTTTCTGTCAGCTGACTTGCTATAATGAATTTCAGCATTTTTTTTTTTTTTTTTTTTTTTTTTTTTTTAATTTTTGATTAGGCCTTGGTATTGATTTTTGGAGTTGGATTTGCATTACCCATCATTTTGGAGTTGGATTTGCATTATCATCATCTTTATCTGATTTTGCATTACCCATCATTACACCCACCATATTTGGCAGTTTATTTTAAGAAATTTAGCGAGTTTTAACTTTATTTTTCCTATGTTTTCATGACACACAGAAAGGTTTTAGTTTTGAGAAAACTGGTTTTGAAATTATATTATTTAATGCAGAAGTTATTTATATACCATATTTCCTACTGTATTTTTCCCTTAAAAATTATTGTTAAATTGTATTCTGTTGATTATTTTTATTTTTATTTAGTATAGTATTCAATTTGTATATGCATTTTTGTATCAGCATTTCATTCATTTTATTTTCCCATGCATTTATTATTTGAAACATATTTTGTGCAGATTCTTTATTGAGATAGCTAGGCATAGCAGGTGTTCTCACACTTAAGAAACTTTCCAAACATATGATTTCACCTTACTTATTTTATTTACATTTCACCTCACCATAGCCTTATTTGTTGTTAATGCATTTGATCCTTCAAAATTCAGGTCTCTTTATTTGGCCCCGTATTCCATTGTTGTTCCTCCTGGAAACTATGGTCAAGATTCATTCATGTGAAGTGCTCCTGAAGCATTGCAAGGTAATTGAGCTGAAGCACGTGTATCGAGCTCAATTGCCATCAGATATTGTAATGTTAATATTACTTTGTATTCTTATTGGGATATAGGTTTATTAAAAAAATAATATTGCAATAGTTACCAATAGTTTATCTATGAGTGCTTTCATTTGTCATGTTCTTATTGTAATGTCATTCTTCAGGAATTAAATTACTTGCAAAATCCCCCTCTTGATTTTAGATGATAAAATTAATTAATAAAAAGGGAGGCAATTACGTATTTTAATTGTTACTTTAAAATTATGTGTGTTCTTTAAAAATTCCAAACGAGTAGCGACATGTTTCCTTGATCTGTTTAATGAAGAACAGTTATTATTCAGCATAATTTGCTCTTACTGAAATCTCATCATAAAAAAAGAATTTTACTCATATAAATAATCTCCAAAAAATAATCTTATATATATTTTGTTTTTACTGGACTTTGCTTTTTAATATATTATTTTGTGGGGACTTTTTCTTCTTACAATGTAACCTCTATATCATAGGGTATAATGATAAATCTCATTCCTCCACACTTTTAGAATTTAACTATTATTGTATAAAAAAAAATTTTTGTTAAAACCTTCTCAGAAATTGAATTAAGTAGAAGATTTTTACACATTTGTATTAACATTTTGAATGTATGCACTTTGCAGTTTTTAATACATTTTTGTATACCTTTCTACATAAAATATTAAATGCATCCAGCAATCTGTTTCTGAATTCAGATTATTTTATACTAATGCAGAACTGAGCCATTTCTTTATCCTTAGCTATCACCAATATTTTTCTTGAAAATGTTAGAACCATGCATTCCTTGTTCTTAAGATCAAGATACCATCTGTGTTTACATAAACTTTCTTGACAAAATGTTGTAGATATTGCTGTTTAAATAAATTAGCAGTACATTTAAATGCTTATGAACAAATGTTTTGTATTTAGTTGTGTTCCATCAGCATGTCTATTTAACTTCTGCACCAGGCATCTTTCAGATTATCCAATGAATGTGTTTGCATAATTTTTCACATTTAAACATGCATAGAATGCTGAATGTTATGTAATTCATTTCATGCTTCTTAATACATATAATGGTTATTTACATGTATTTTTGCAGAAATATTCATTGCTGCATTTTATACACAAACATTCATGCCGCCGTGCACATTTTACCCACACTTTTGTATATATATTTTTTTCACCGAAGACAACACCTCTTTTCTACAACATTTTTCTCTCTATTGTGGAATTAGTACTAAACAGAGCTGAACATTTATAATATTTTCTTCTGGATAAAGTTTACAGAGTTTCAGTGTAACACTCATTTGAAATCTATTTCAGAATTTTATTACAGCATTGAATAATAAAATCTAAACATGTAATTTTTTTCCCTCATTACTTTCAAACAAAAGTTTGGCAAAAATGTTGAAGCAGTTTTTGCACACATAAAAGGAATTTTTAAGAAAATAAGTTCTTAATTTCTTGCATGAATGAGGTTGTTTTAAGGTCCCAGCAGTTTTGATGACCTAGGTGATGTCTATAGCATATACTCCTTATGAATAAAGTGTATGATTAATTCAAAACAAAATATACCTTTATTCAGAGGCGTAGCTATGGTTTTCAGCGCCCGGGGACAACTAAAGAATTTCCGCCCTTTCTGTACCAAGAATGGAAAATATTTTGTTTTAAAATTTCATAACATAAATTTTGCATCCCCTGGGTGCTGCACCTGGGGACAGATGTCCCCCTTTGCCACAGCCTAGCTACAACACTGCCTTTATTTAATTCTCATTAGCATAAACAAGCAAATTAAGACCTTCCAAAAGTTAGCACCCTAATCAGCTATCTGAGTTGACTAAACTTGGAGCCGGCCTTGACTTCCTTTCTTCACTCTCTTAAACCAAACATAATTTCAGTAAAATATTTAAAATGAAAAATAAAAGTCTGAAATAAGAAGTAAAAGTGCCAAGTGAACAAATGTTTTTGAAAGTGAAAAAGAAGCACAAGTAATGCAATATTAATATGAAAATGTTGTTTATTAGTACTACCATCTAATAAGCTAAAAAAATTGGTATATGGTATTATTATATTACAGTGCCCCATACAAATACAGTATTCTTATCCCAACTATCAGACAAAAGATATTAGATGTCTGTGTAACATCTTTAAATACTTGCATATTATTATTCAGATGTATCGGAACATAGCTTTAGCATTAGAGTTTCTCCTTTCTGATGGTATCTTTCCTGTAAAGAATTTCCTTTAAATTTACCTTAACTGAATCAATTTATCTTGAGAGTAGTTGCTCAAGTTTAGAAAAATGACTGTGTATGAATACATGTGTATTTACAATTTAAGGAATTTACAGAAAATAAAGGAACATTGGGAAAAAGTGTAAATAAAATGACAGTAATTATAATAAGGCAAACAAAGTATATAATTTTTTTTTCAGAAATGAAACTTTTCTTTAAATTAAAGTTTTAATTCCCTAGTGTGTTTAGTCTGGTGTGGAAAGGGTTAACGTATTTACTTCTGTACAAATTTTGCTACTCCTAATGAAATATATCATAGTACATTTCCAGTTTGATTTACAAACCATTATTCAGTTTTTTTTTTTTTTTTTTTTTTTTTTTTTTTTTTTTTTTTTTTTTGTTTCTGATAATTCAGTCTTGCTGTCATTTTTTATATGTTGATGAATGAAGGAAAAGAAGCTAAGTGCTGTGTTAATATATGTTTTATTTAAATTTATATAATAGTAAAACCATCATAATTTGTAGCTAAAGATTAGAGAAGAAATTTAAACAATAAATATGAAATGTTACCCATAATTTTGATTAGTTTTTATTTTCTTTTTATCCAAATTCTAGCAAAATTATGTCAAAGTTGGTAAAAGTATAATATTTGTTTGAACATTTGTTATTTGAACTTATAAGATTTGTAGAATCATCATCTAAATTTAAATTGGCTGAAAATTGAAATAATAAGATTCTGCTTTTTATATTTCAGGTGTCCTCCAGGCTGTGCCACATAATATTAGAGCTGATAATAATTTTATTTCTATTACAAGCACTGGTCAGTATGTTTCCACAATTTCCATCTCAAATAAGTAGTGCATTTTAAAAATTAAAAGCTGTTTTAGGAATTAAATCCACAAAAACTTGAGTGATTTAGTATTTTATCTTAAGACATCATTTTAAATGTTGCCTATATTTCTGCGCTCATCATTTTATCTGTCATCTAGCCCTTGGATTTGTGGACATTTTGCAGAATTTGAATATCATAAGCAATTTGATGTTTAATGTCTATAATTTGTTTAATGTATGTTATCACATTTATTATATTTGTTTTATGTACTGCTCTGGTTAGTATGATAGTTACTTTGTTATTATATTTGTTTTATGTACTGCTCTGGTTAGTATGATAGTCTGTTACTTTAAAATAGGTATTTTAAGGCTGTTGTTACCCAACCCCCATCCCATTTGTGATTATAACTCATGTCATCATTACCACACAGGATTTATTTTGTCTGCTTCATTTGAGACTGTAATTCAAGTCAACCTTCATTCATGAGCTTTTCATGAAGCAAAATGCATTGAACAGAAATCAAATGAAAAAAAAAAATTAAGCGACTTGACCTTTTACCTTTAGTTGTTGTTCCTATAGTTATAAATTAAATCAGACTGAATAAACGCAAATTAATAAAACTTTAGAATGGAATCATTAATTGAAAATTAAAATGAAAAAAGAAAATTTTTTTAAATTGCAGAACATTATACATTAAAAAAAACAAATACCAAAATTATTTTTTATTAATCTGTTCTGTTTAAGGCTTCAAACAGAACTTGTAAGGGAAAAGTGTTTTGAAGCCTTGAACCAAGTTGATTAATGAATTCCAAATACATGTTTTGTTTCTCTGAACCAGTTTAGAGTTAAAACTGCTTTTCATTACCAAACCTCCATTTTAAAACAAATTTCTAATTGGTTTCAAATCCTTAGATCTTTTCCCTACATGCATTTGTACTCAAATTAAACCAAAAATTATATACAAATGCTAAAAAATACTACAAAAACCTTAAAATAGGCAAAACCCAAACTAATTACACAGAACTAAATTAAATCAAAGAAAATTCTAAAATGAGAATTAATGAATCAATTTGTTATTCAAATTTGAAAAATGAATTGTTCGGTTCAATTGCATGTAACCTAATGCAAGGGTGGCCCGATTTCCCGATAATTTTACGTTTTTGTGAATTTCAATTTGTACCAAAACAGAATCAATAAAATATACTCCTGACGTGATCAAAATTAATGAAAAATATGAAAAACATGCCTTTCCTTAAACCTCCATTCCAGGAAAACATTTCAGATGCTTAAAAGAATGGATGCTGATAGAGTTGCTAGAATTTTAACGATCCCATCTTAAGGGCTTACCAGAAAAAGGGGGAAAAGTGTTTGTGTGTAAGATATGAAAATATGAAGGAAAATTATTAACAAATATCAATATGAAGGAAAATTATTAACAAATATTTAATTTAATTGCCAATAGCACTTTAAATTCCTATTTAAATACAACCCCATTCAAAGGATCTGTATTTTGTCAATTTTGTCATTGACATAGTCTTTCCCTTCAGTAAACTGCAGTATGAAAGCTCTTGCCCAATCATCATTTAAAATTCAAACAAAGAATTTCCAACCTATAAATAATCTAATACTTTCTTAGTAAATAATCCTGCTAATACTTTCTCCTCTGCTTTCATTTCACAATCACATAATTAATTCTAATTCAGAAGTCAAACAACAATTGCGGTTTTGCAGCTGAGGATGATGGTTCAGTAAAAACCATCGAAACTAGTCCTGCGAAAATTTTGAAAATATAACGCTGATTTTTGTTGTTTGACTTCTGAATTAGTATTTATTCGGCGTGTTATTGTGTCTTAACATAATTAATTGCTTGGCTCTTTTCATATAGTGTTTTTAAAATTTCATGCATCTTGTATAAAATTGTGGGTGTTTATAACATCCCTAATTTTGTGCTAGTTAAGAAGGTATGTGTAATGAAATTTGTCATCCAGAAATAAAAATGATATTTTAACCATAAAGCTAGGTAAGTCTTTTTTTTTTTTTTTTTCGAAATTCCGGTTTACTATGCAATCAGTATTTGTGTGCACGCTTCATCTCTCTAGAACATCTAAGCCATGATTAAAAAGTGAGTTGGAGCCTTCCCTTATCTAGTTCTCATTTAATGTCAAGTGATCTACAAATAAATAAATCATCATTAATCTGTTTCAACTGCATATCTGAAATCCCTTTGAAAAAATTTTTGTACTTAGTAATTTGTGAATGAAATATTTTTTGTAACAAAAAATTACTTTTTTTCTAGAAATTATGTGGAATATCCCAATCTCTAAAACGTTCACATCACTAATACTTGATGACCTAATTTGAATCTTTCTCTTTAAAATTTGTAATAATTTGTTATTGACTCACATACTTGTGTCAGGAATAAAAATATCCCACTTTAATTATGTTACATATCTTTTTAACAGGAGTAGATTCCATATTCAGATATAGCATGTTAAATCTTATATTTATGCATCATGCTACCTTTGCTTAAATTATGTGCTAATATTATAATTAAATGTAACAGAACAAGGTTGAACTTATCACGAAAAAAATCCTTACATTAATTGTATTGGAAACGTATAGAGTTATTAAATAAAGTAAATGTGCTATATACAATGCATGGAACATCTGTAATTTTCTTATATAATGTAATTGTTAATATGTATTAATGAAGATCTTTCTGAATTGTGCTGAATTGTATGATTTTGAATGAAAAATTCTCATTTGAAATATAAATTCATAATAAATTATTTTTAAAAAAACTTTATCTTATTCTAATCATTTCTCAAGCATAGCCACTTTCATCTACTATTCTATTATTTATTCTTTAAATGTAGTTTTGGTAAACTAGAATTTCATCTATGTTTCTTGACGTTATGAAATGAAGTTGTATGATTACATTTATTGTCTCTGTTAATAATACTCATATGGATTTCTTTTAAATTTATATTATCAATATAATAAAAATTTTAAAATCTTATACTGCTAATCATTATATAACTATTATATATATATATATATATATATATATATATATATATATGATTTATATTAATTTCTTTATAGTAAATTAACAAAGAAAAGAAACTCTTTTGATATAGAAGAGTTTGGAGTTTTAATTTATGTTCATCAGTTTTCGTACTAGCCAACTCCCAGCTACTGTAAATGTGTGGTTTGTGAAAAAAATATATCTTGAATTGAAAGATGTAATTACTTTACACATTTATAAATGTAATCAGAGCTACTCATTGAGTTGGTGATTTAAATTACACAATTAAAACTGTGCTTCATAAATGCATCCATTGATAAATTAAATGTGGAACTAATAATTAGAAATAACCAAAAGTATAGTAAATTAGTAACCAAAAGTATAGTAAGTATAGTAAATTCATAATCACTGACCTTTTTTTCCATAATAATATACAAATTTGTGATATTTAATTTTTATAACAACTCCTACTATTATTACATTTTGCCTAAAAAATATTTGGCTTTTAATGTTCTGTTTTGTGGGATATGTTACCCTATGTGAGTTTAATTTTTGAGCCTGTGGTTATTAAACAATATGTGTATACCATAGCTATCATCACCAAACTTTCTACAATTCTTTTCTGGGTTCTCGAAAAGGTCAATGTCCACTTTTTCCACAAAAAAATTAGCTAAAATCAGAGGTATTAAATGAAAATGCTTAAAACACTAGTTTTTGCCCTGAGTTTTCTGAGTGGCAACAGTGCTGGCTGTTATGGACAACAATGGCAACAGTGATATATCAGCAACAATGGCTGCATGCCATTTTTGCTGATATAATTAGTTGCTGATATAATATTTTTCTATCAAAATTTTTATGTGGATTCCATATCACACAAAATAATTCATTTTGCTCAAAATAATGATCTATTTGTTTTTATTTTTGCTGACCCAAATGGCAATTCCATATCTCATATTTGTATATATATCATATGATTCTATGATTAAGTAGTCTGTTGTGGTACATGTATTAAATATTACTTTGTATCTTTGGCATTTTTTATGCATTACAATGATACATCCCTTATGATGTGTAATATGCTATTATATGAATTTTCAAATGATGTCATGAGTAAAATAATGTATTACTCTCATTCTAACTTAACTGTTATGGGGCACTTCTGCTAGTACTAAAATAAATTGATGTGGTTATATGGTAGTTCATAGCCTGTAAATATCATTCCAAAAGAAATTATTAAAACTCTGTGACATTTCACAATTTTCCTGAAAAAATTGGTTAATGATTTATTATCTAATAAAAATTATTTGGGCAGATAAAACACGTATTAATATGATGAGAGCAAGTTTTTAGTTCCCCAAAATACTAGAAATTGAACTTTTGGAAGGATGTAATTAAATAAGGGGAACTAAAATCTTCACTTGCGCAGAAGCTCACTTTTTTCTCAGTTTACAACTTGCACTTCGGAGAGCATTTTTTTACCCTTGTCACATTCTGCTTGGTAGCTAGAATTATATCGGCTGACATCATGTTGCATATTTTGTATTTTCTTGCATAATGAGCTTTTCTTACTACACATTTGTGTTAAAATTCCCCATGCTTTTTCACTCCAAAATTCCTTCCCCCTTCACATATAAGCCATTGCGAGTCTGCTATCAAGTCTGGTGATTCTTTATCCCTTCAGTACTCCACCCAAATTACTTTTAATTTCTCCTCACCCTCCAGTTAGGGGATATCCCTCCAATAATACCTGCTTCCTCTCCAGTTCTTGAATTCAAACGTATCTGGTTGGTTTTTCTGAATAAAATATTCTATATAGCAATACAGTGTAAATAAGAATATTCTATTTTGTATTATAATGTGCTGATATGATTATAACTGAACTCTATAAAACATGCGTAATATTCAAAATGCTAAGTTATTTGATAACTATCTGCCCATATAAATCATTTTTACAACTTTACAAAATAAAGTAGGATTATACAATGTTATTCCCTTCATTCATTAGCAATTTACACAATATAATAATAATGATGAATGCTTAGAAAATGTCAAATACAGAACTTTCCAGTGAGGTTAAATTTCTGTTTCTGATTCATTTTCTATGATGCAATATTTTTTTTTCGTTTTAATTCTGTATTATACCCATTGCAATGGAATAGTTTCAATTGTAATGCAATCTTATTGCTACAGCATTATTTATCATGTCCCTTGCGAATCATGATTAGAATTTATTATATAATCATTTGCATATTGTATTACTTTTTAATATTAAATTTAAAAGAAAATATTTTTACATGAGCCACCAAAAATGAGCTTATTGGTTGCTCACGATCAAAGTTTTGGTGATCCTTATTCTGTATATTACTTTTCATAGCTTGAACAGGAAAAGTTTTGTTATACATATTTCAGAAACTTGAATCTTGGATGGTGTTCAGGCTTTCAGCTGAATTGGTCATTACCTGTAATTGGGAGAATGCTGTTGGCATACAGCAGTACTTTGAAAAAAGAATAAAAAAAGCACACAAGCACCACCGAAATCAGCAAAAATTCTGGGCTGTTTGAGCTAAGATAATAAAGAAATAATTGAGAAGACCTTTTCGAATCTGATTCATATTTAATATAAAACTGAATTTTAATTAAATAGTCATATTTTTGATTGTACTGGATTTTGACTAATACCAGAGCAGACAAAAATTAGGAGCCTAGCATAAAGGTTGTCTGGACGGAATTTTCTTTACTGACTCATCATCAGGAGCTGACTCATCTTCACATTATACATGTGAAATATTTTGAGTAGAGACTCCTTTGGTTAAGAGGTAACTTTACATGGAAATATGCTAATTTTTCAAAGTAAGGATTTTAAAATTATTATTGCTTTGAACTCTGACAGGTGGAAAGAAACTCTTAACATTTTAGTGCATTATTAAGAGTTTTAATCAAAATTATATTTGTTTAGTAAAAAGAATTTTTTCCCTTTACATGATCAAATTGAAAAACTTTAAAAAGTTTTCCCTGTTGTTGTTGCTGTCTTGTCCATATTATATGGAACAATGGTTGCCAGAGCCTACTCTTAAAAGAGGTTGGACTTCTATTTTCCACCCCCAGTTTTGTGAGAGAGCACCGAGGGGGGAATACAGGGGTATCCCACACCTCTCCCTTTCCACCAATCCACACAAGAGGACTTTCAGTTCGCCGCATATTTATGCACCATGCCGCACCGACACTATACATTTATAAACATCCATGTCTTCTCTGGAATTCGAACCTGGGCCCTTCAGTACAGTGGTAGGCTCCTCTAACCACTATACTGTTTGGGCGACAAATTTTTCCTTACACCTATCAAATAGTTATCTTCTTCCTCTGTAAGCATTTAAAATAACCATTCCCTAAACATTACTCTTCACTAATCGGGTTTGACATTAAAAAGAGAGAAAATGGGAATGAAAAATAAATAATGTCTTGTTACTCAGTGAAAGTTAGCATTGTTTTTTCCCATGTGGAAGTTATAAAAATGATGACATTATTACATTTATTTAACTATCATAAGGAGTAGATGCTTTTGTTACTATTTTTTGTGATTTAAAATTGTGTATAATATGTAAATATATAAGTAACTAAATTAAGATTAGTAAGTACATTTAAAAAAGAAGCTAAGGAAGAAATTTTAATAATTATGAATCGAAATTCATATAAAAATAACTACTAATGATTGTAGATATCAATATAAGCTAGTGATGTGAAAATAGAGGCAGGAGTTAAGAGATGTGGCTGAGAAGAAATTCGCTGAACACTGATAGTTTGACCTGGGTTTGATTCCAAGCAAACGGCTGGCTGCATGTGCATTTTCATGATTTTCCCCATATTTAATGTAGTTACGAGCCAGTTTCTTTTAGAAGATCCTCTGCAAAGGCATCTCTTTCCATAGTCAGATATCCCAGCATGCTTTTCCATAATCAAGCAAACCAAACCCATTTCACTCCTTCTTCTGGCACAGGTTACTGAGATTAAGGGAACAATAGAGGAAATGGTGAAAGGGCACTCCTCTGCAAGTGGGAAGGAAAATTAGGTGAAACGTAATTTTGATGAAAGGACAAAGGAACCATATTTCCTTCCATATGTTATTACTGTTTCTAGCATTCTTTCTATTCTTACAATGGTGCATTAACCATTTGACCTTTTTTTATTCAATTACTGGAAAATGAATGGTCTATTTTTTCTATCATCCTTTGAAATACTGTATTATACTGTTTATTCATGGCTTAAATTACACCTTAGTTTTGGCTAAGCTATTTCTTAGTTTCACTTGTGAAATTGTAATTCCACCCACGGCCCCAAATAAGACAAGATCTGGTATTTTATTTTTTATTCAACTATTCATCATAAATTTAATAATTTATTAAAATTTTGTTTATGTCAGTACATTTTTATGAGTTTTAATTTTAATTATAAATTATATTTATTTATTTTATTTAGTTATTTAGTTGTTTGTTTTTCTTTTCTGTTGGCCTTCTGTAAGGCTCGGATACTTCTGATTTTAGAAATTAAGCCCTTCTTCAAAGAGATAGCCCAGTCTTCCCGCCCCCTTTAAACTCATCCACACTTAAAAATTAAGGTAAATTTAAATTTGCAATGGTTGTAATTGAATGTTCTCTGCATTTTAAAAGATAATCTAATGTGGACTTGAAATGCATAAGGCATTAATTAAAATCATTGTCAGTCTGAAATTTAATTTTGATTCACTTTAAAATTATATGGCATTTTTTCTATTTCTGTTATTATTGCATATTTTGGGATTTAATTTAGCTCTACTTCTTTAAATATTGTCGGATCCTTTTCTGAAGCATATTTGCAATACATCTTTCTGTTAATGCGCAGATTAAGATGAGTTCAATCAATCAAATTTAAAATAAAAATTAAGAATAGAAAAATAAAGTTAATTATCACCAAATGTAAAAAATTAAGTAAAATGTATTATCAAATTATGTATTTTTTGGCAGAGCTTCCAGTTTTTCTCAATTTCTTTATTTCTGCTTTTATGTATGCTTTTCTGATTTTGCATTTTCGTTTTTGTTTATTAAAATATAAGAGCATAACAAGCTGTTTAAGTAGAATAAATTTAGTAAATAATGATATTAAAATTTTGTTTAATATAAAGTTGAAAATTATTTTCAGGGAAACTCATTTTATCATTAAGAAAAGACATTGCTAGTTGCCTTTCTTTAACAAACGTACACTCTGGTAAACACAAGAAGAATGTAAGGGAGGATTTTCAAAGTATGCTGTACTATGATTTCATTTGATTTACTTATAAATATTGTCATTAGTTGATTATATTTTTTAATTTGTATTCATGTAACAGAATTTACATGAATTGGGCAAAAATTAAGTATCTAAATTTAACTGCAGTTTAATATATCACTCGTGAAAGGAAAGTGATCTAAATATAATTATTTTTGTGAACTTTTAAAATTTAATGATTTTAAACAGGTTTTTATTTTATTTCCATTTATTATATGTTACTTATATATCAGTGCAACCACATTAAATGTAAAAGCCACATGTTCTCTGGCTATCTTTTATAGAAATAATAATAATAATAATAATAATGACTTTTAATTGCAAAAAATTATTTTAAATGCATGAATAGTGTGCTGTACTATATTGTATTGTACTATAAATACTATTACTTACATATTTTACATTTTAATTAAGTGTTTATCCCAAAAACCAATCAATAAATCTCTTTACAAGCCAGTTTTTGTTTCTTTTGCTCGGGTGAGATTTTGCAGAAAAATATATTTTTGGAGACATTTTACCACAGTTTCTTGCACTGCATACAAATTTGGCAACTAATTATGTGTTATTTATGATTGAATATAATTAAAAAAAGTAGCATACTTTGTCTACAAAAATCCTTTGGAAACTTAAATAAAAATAATAATAATGATAACAAAATTTAAAAAAAAAGAATGCATGTGAAAATGGTATCATTGGTTATTAAAGCCGAAGAATTGTTATGCATTACCAGAATTTTGTTACAGAATTTAGCAGATTCCAAGTATTCCGAATGCATTCAGAATACTTCACAATTTCTATCAAGACTGTTGCACTAACATGTAAATACCATTTTTAAAATTTAATTTTTATTATTTTATTTTATTTTTTTTCTGACTTTAATGTGTATAAAAGTTAAATATTTTTCTCTTTGCTGAACCTCTTGACTTTCCTGTTAACTGCATTGTTGTCTGCACTTCAAAAGTTTAAAAAAAAAAAAAAAAAAAAAAAAAAAAAAATGTGTGTCTCAAGAGAGGGACCTATGTCAGATTGCTTTTAAAATTGGCAGAGTTTTGTTCAAAATCTGTACCAGTTTAAAGTTGTCTCCACCCCTTTCCCTGATAATAAATTTTACAGTGTAACATTGTTGTGTAAATTTCAGGTTTACATTGTTACATTTCCTTTCAAGCAGTAGTATGGTGTGTTTGTTACATTTTCTTTCAAGCAGTAGTATGGTGTGTGGGTGCATTTTTTTTTTCTTTATTAAATACAATATAATGATGCTGCAACTGTGGTTGAAAATCTGCATACATATGTGTGAGTGAAATTTTTGTATATGTACATATATGTGTGTATATATATAATTTCTGAAGTTTTACATGTTATGTTTATCACATTGATTCAATACTTATGTTTTGTTCTAAAAGTATATTTGCATTCAAATAAGGTTTTTTATTCCAAATAATCTAAATTAATTTACATCACATAGGGAAATTCTTGATATGCGTATGGGTATGCTAAATTTGGGGAATTAAATATTTACATCTAATTTCATTTCTACTTTCGATTTGCATATGCATAGCAAGGATGAAACACGATGTTTGAATGATTAGGGGGAGTGTGAAATAAGCTAATTCCCTCTGAAGAATTGGTATTATTTCACTGTCTAATCGGTTGTTTATTTTTAATTATCATTAACATATTTTTATTACTAGTATTTTATATTTATTGGCCATTGCTAGTAAAGCAATTTTTCCATACCAGTTTAACTTTTACTATTTAATACTTTAAAAAAAATTAATATACTTTAAAAATAATGAATTTGTAAATTGGAATTTAAACTTCAAATTGTAATTCTCGTAATTTAAAATAATAGAATTTTAATAAGAGTATTCCCCCTTTAATTATAATTTCACTCGAACAGTTTATATATATATATATATATATAGTAAGAATCCTTAGAGTTATGAAGTTTCAAGAGAAAGTGATAGAAGGAGATTAAATCATAATATTTTGCGATAACCTTTTTGTGGTAAAAATCTGAAATATTCTGCATAATTTCTACTATAGAAGGTTTTTGTCAACAAAATGGACTTCTTCAATTCTGTATTGATTTTCCCTCTTAAATACATTTTCAATGACTAAACTATCCTTAATGTGATTATTTAAATAATTATATGTTAAAATTACCATTTTGAAATATATTTTATAATTGGTACTTTATCATTGAAATTTTAATGCTGTATCAAGAAATTAAAATTATATCTGTTTGAATTTTTTTATTCTTTTGAAGATGCTTATGTATTTATATCTGCATATGTATTGTTTATGATACCCTGATTTTATGTAAATTATAGTTTTATTTATGGTTGTTCAAATATTAGCTGATGCTGTTAGATTCTTTATTTAGTTCTGAATGTTCTTTAGTATCTATTTAGTTCTGTTCATTACCTTCATATCTATATTGCAAGTTTTATTTTTATACTCAAAATTTCTATAATTGTAGTTTATTCATACATTATGCTTTTAATTTAAAAACTGAGGAATTCAAATCTGTACAAAACCATCAATTTGAGTCTTGCAAAGTTTTCATAACCCAAATAAAGGAGTAAGTTTTAATTATTGAAAGTTACTTTTTAAATAATACACTTTACTGCTAATAAATATTTAAAAGTATCAGCAGAGATGAGACTTCATAGGCATAATATGAGCATTTTCTGTTGTCTAGTGAAATATAGTATTTAATTTCTTCTTAAATCTCAAACTCTTTGAAAAGTTTTTTAACACCCATAAACTAATTACTTTTCAGAATGTTTGATTGTATATTTATTAGTTAATTATAATTGTTTAATTGTGTTCATGTATTATTTTTCTTAATGATTCAGCTATATTTCAGAACTTAAAAAGAATAAGAAAGAGAATGTATTTTCTTGCTGTCAATTTCCCCCCCCTCCCCCAAAAAAGATATAATAATTAAAAAAAATAAATAAATAAAATAAAATAAAATAAAAATTGCTGAAATGTCTCAGAAGATTCCTTCACTTAGGGCCTTTGAGTTAATCCTCATGATGCATGTATCGCAGTTAATTGTTACTGTCAGGCTCAAGTGTAAGGAAATTTTAAGACTGAAGAGAAAATTGCTGTCAGTGTGTAATCAAGATTCAGCCAATTGCTTTTGGTCATTCTGGATTCTGAATTATTCAGTACTGTCAGACCAAAAATAGTGCAATCACTTCTTTAATAGTTAAATGTAAAAAAGGATTCGTTTTTCACTATGCATTTTGCATGCAAAATATATATAAGGTGTAACCAAATTGATGATCATAACTTTGAATATGACAAAGTAACTTTCATGATATAGTATGCGATGAAATGTGGAATCTGAATGTGGAAACAATATGTGTGAAGAAAATGGGAAACAAAAAGTTATTTTACTCATGGATATTTACGATAAATAGTGTTTGATATTTAAAAGCTTGTTCAAATGGATGACTAACAACTGTAAAACACAGTGACAGTTAAGAGCTGCAGATTGACTCTCCTGAAGAACTTGTCACCAGAATTAACATCACTGCTGCAGAAGTACCTGATATACTTGACATCTTCCGAAATGTAAGCTAATCACTTCATCATTATCATGATGCATGTACTGAAGTTAGTGGTTATTCATTTGAACATGTCTTATAAATATTAAGCATTATATATATATTAAATATTGAACATTGTTTCTTGCAAGTATGCATGATTAAAATAATTTTTGTCATTCTTCATGTTCTCTCTTATGTGTTCCTGCTTTCAAATTTTACCACAGATTGTATTATGAATATTGTTCCTTTGGTAATCTTTATCAACCTTGAAGCTGTTATCATCTGTTTTGTTACATTCTATATGCATGTATCTTGAAACTTTTTTTCTGCAAATGCGAAAAGTAACAAGAGAAATAAAATGCTGATTTAGTACTGCATTTAATTAGAGAAGACATCACTTAAAAATATCTGAAATTCAGATTTTTATTCAGCTTTAAATCCCCCCCCCAGTGTTTATGCCACTGTATTATTTGATTGACCTTTGTAAACATTTCTAATACATTTCAGTACTAAGAAAACGTATATCATGCTATTCTTATAGCTTAACTTTTTTTTTTCTAGCATGTGTAATTGAAATGAAAGATTCAAATTTTTTCCCTGGAAAGAAGTTGTATAAATCAGTTTTACATGAGCTTACTAAAATAGATGATCTTCGTTTTGATTTACTTCTTAGTTGGAAATCAAATGGTAATATTTGGAAAAGCCTGTTTATTATTTTTTTAACATAATTTAAAATTTTTACTATTAATTTTATTTTTAGTAATGCTTTAATAAAGAATATGCTATTTATCCAGTGTTGCATAGCTGAGAAATAAACAGCTGTTTTGTTTTGCCTAAGTTAGTTATTTTTTGTTTTGTTGTGCAAGTTAATCAGTCTTCATTTTTTCTATCTTTCATTTGTATGAACACTTTGTTAAACTTTCTCCACAGTTGATTACAGAATTAGCTGTTAAATATAGAAGGAGAATGTTTAAGAGCTTGCTTGATTAATTTTTGTCATTCTTTTTAGTTTCAAAATAATGTCAGGAAAACATGCTTCATTTTATAAGTACAGGGTATTCCATAGAAAACCTTATTTTTATGTATGTTCCATAAAATATGAAATTATTCATATAAACAGCTTTGTTTAACGTTAAAATTGAAGGGATGTTGCTAATGGAAAGACTGTCAATGACTAATCTACTCAGGTGAGAAGGCCTACATCACCAGATACACATAAAATAACAACATTGTCCTTTCACATAAACAAAAACTTTAAGGGCAGGGCTAGATTAACTATGAGGCAATATAAGATGTGCTTAATGCATCAAGGAAAGGGAACACCACAAAAAGGCCGTTGGGTATTCAGGTAAGGTGGCAAAAAATTTCTCATTGCCCTTTTTACCATGGAGTGCATGGTACAGCTAAACTAAAACCTAGAGAGAGAATGAATGAAGAAAAAACTGGTGTAAACATATGTGGGGTCACCAAAATGTTTTAAGTTCTTAAAGCCTCTAAAAATCAATCTGTAAGAAGAAGCTTATTGGTTGATAGATGGATATCAGTCATATTCTTGATATTCAATAAACTGAAGAGTGGCCATTACAAATGCTCATTTTGCTGATGTTTCTTCTTATGAGCAATAAATTGATCACAGTGTAATTTTTGGTCAATCATCATAGTTCAAATAATACTTTAAATTGTGGCAGCAATATATTAGTTATTTTTTCCTTGCTGCTTGTTGATTACAGTCTAGCAGAATGGAATTCCTCCATGCTTTTAATATGTGACCATAATTTTTCTTTTAGTTAATATACATTTTAGAGAAATAATTTCTACTGATTTCCACATTTATAATCTGTTATTAGTTTTAATGTAGCTTTCCTTTTTCACATATCTGCTTCAAACATATGCATGTTCTTTTAACATAGCTACAAGACTGCCTTTACATTTCAGCTGACAGAGCTTCAACCATGCATGTCTGTTTTTTAGTCTTTTACAGGTTTAAATTACTCTTTTTCTGTGTTCATAAAAAACTTTATTTTGAGTTGATATTCATATCACAATAGCATAAGCATAGTTTTGTTATTAATATAGAATATTTTTATAGAAGATTCAGTTAGTTTTATTCTTCATTTATATTCCCCAGTCATCAATAAGCATGAACAGCTTCAATATATTCAGTTTTTAATTTGATTAGTAGAAAATATACATTATTAATTTATACTTAATGAACTAGAAACATTTAAAAATTAGTCACATCTCCAAATATTTCAGTTATCTTCAATGACTGTTCAGATTTCATAACGTTGAAAGAATATTTTTAAATCTCGCATTTTTGAGTTATTGAACAGTGGGTTGCAAAATTTGTGCAAATCTTTGAGAAAATTGAAGTGAAGTTTTGTAGTAAGTTTTTCATTCTTCTAATTAAAAAAAAATCATCAGGAAATGACAATTTTGGTTACATATTTGAAATTTTTTATATTCAGTTTAATTCTTTGATTAAAATTGTGTGGTCTTGATTCCATCTTCTATGTAGCTTATTTTAAAATTATATCACCTTCTCAACCCCCTCCCCAAAGTATAAACTAGATTCCTATTAAAAGTCCTGCACAAAGACATATTTTTTCCTAAGCAAATAGCCTTCATGTATCTTGTCATATTTAATTAAACAAACAAAAGAACATAACTTTTTTCCTTGCTTGTATTTATTGTAATGAAGTAACATTTCTTGATGCATATATGTTCCTTTATAAATATAATCAATTTTGAAATTTACTGTAATATTAATTGTATATTTTATTATGTTAATTTATTTATTAATTGCATTATGTATTTATTTATATTAATTATATTTTAAACAAAAGCATTTTTTTAAATTTTATATATAGTATGCAAGAAATATTTTTAAAAAATCTCATTTTAAAATTTATTGTGAAATTTATTACAGGTGATATATGTTCTCAGTCATTAAAAAAGTATTTTGAAAATCAAGGTTATGAATGCATTGCTTTTGAACCCACTTACAGACAGTCATGTAAAATTTCTGTCTCTGTGCCAATAATAAACTTTGAATTATTCGAACCAAGTGTATTGGAAGATGTATTAGAATGGATTGGAGCACACATTTGTGAAATTGATTTGTAAGCAGTTTTTAATATTTTTAATATTGATATTTTTATAATGTAGTTGTTTACATAGTTAATGTCATATTTGTTTTCTACCATATTTTAATATTTATTTATTCGAAAAGATTAAATCATATTTTATTTTTGTATTGCATAAATATGTTGAACAAAAAAAATTTTAATATTTCAGAAATTGTAGAAAAGAAGCATTGTATTATTCTTTTCTTTTGTATGGGCCAATTTAAGATAAAAATATATTTTATATGCTTTTGCAACAAAAAACAATGTGATTTAATTAACAAGGTGCTTCAAATGTCATTATTAAAAACATAAATGTTTTGCTATTTTCATTTTCTTTATTCAACTTCTTTTAGTAGATTTCAGTTTTTGACAATGAACCTGCATTCTGAAACACATTTTTTGTTAACGTTTTAAAAAATTCAGATGATTAGTAAATGAAATCCTTTTGATTTTTTGTGTGAGTGTCTGAAAGTTTAGCTTAATCATTGAAAATTCAGGATAGAAAGTATAACTATTAGGACAGCAGAAAATTTTATATTAATTAGTCATACAACTTAACTGATCACTGTATGTCTTCAATTATCATCACTGCATGTCAAATATGAGATTATATTGTATGTCTATATATTCTACTGTTAATTTTTTATTTTGTTGCTTGTATGGTAATCAGAAGCATTGGAGAAACACAATTAGAAGCTGGAATATTTGTAACACTAAATATTTTGCAAACTTCTATCTGTAGGCTTTTCAAAAGAATACAAAATCTAGCAGAGATTGAATGTCAGCTAGTATGAGTGTGACTGAGCCTCGTAATCTTCAGTAGAACCTGTGAATTGTTGCACTGACTTTGTAGCAAAGGTGTGAGACAACTGTGGGCTGAAATGACTACTGTTTTAAGAATGAAAGTTTATTTGAATGTAGAACATCTAATGTGCAAGCGAAATATTCAGCAGTTTTTGACTCATTCTTTTCTGTGAACAGAAGTCCTGTTTAAATTTATTTGCTGTCAATAAAGTTAAAAGTAGATTTCAAATTAATAAATGAATTATTCACTGAAGAGTCCAGATTAATTTAATCATTGGATGATCTTTTTAAGGAAATGGGGACCTGTTATAATACCAGTAACAGTAGTAAAGGCAAAGAGGCCAATCTGATGATGGTGGAATTATGGTATGGGAATTATCATGCTAAATGGATGCACAGATCTTCACATGATTAGCCATGATAATCCTCCTTCATTAATTCTAGGATATTTTTATAGAATGATTATCACTTCTCATTATTCGTATTGCACTAACTTTTATTCTCTTAAAACAAAAATCAGATTTTATAAATATTTTTATTTGTCTAAATAATGTGATATTCTCTGCTTTTTTCCTTCTTTTTGTAGTAGCAATATTTTTTTCCTTATCAAACTGAGTTTCACTCCATTCTATTTAATTGTTTATGAACTGGTCACCTCTTTATTTATGCTTTACTTTTCAATATCTGCTTCTTCATTGGCTTGATAACACAGGGTGGGGCTTGGCATTCTCCAGGCATCTCTGCTTTTGGTAACTACTTTCAGAGGTGTATTTACTTGTATGCTTTAAATATGTAAAATAAAGTATGTTAAAGCATATCTATTTATAATTTTGGAATGTCCAATATTTATCTTTCTGTAAAGTGTTACCAACAATTGACTTTTAGAATATTTAGGTCATTTTCAACACAGTCAATCCATCTCACTGCAAAGTCTACCATGAGGTCTGGTTCCCATGAGCTCTGCCAGAAAGATTCTCCTATAACACCATTCTTCATGCATTCTGACTAAATAACAAGCCCATTAAAGTCTCTGTAAAGAATTTTACTACATCAGGTTGTCTATAGATCTTGTATAGATCTTATTCTCCATGTTCCATTTACATGGATCCTATCAAGTATGATATGCAATATCCTCTCAGAAATCCCAAAAGGCATCCTCATCACAAAAATTTAGCACCCAAACTTCCAAGACGTAAGTCAGTACAGATGTTATAAGTCTGTTGTAAAGAAGCAGTTTAGTTCCCAACTTGAGAAAGCTGGATTTAAAATAGCTCTTCAGACATTTTGAATTAGAAATGAATATTCATTTAAAATAGCACTTCAGACATTGTCTCATTTTTACAATTCATCTCCACTTTCAGATAAGTGAAACTGAAGACTTTTTTAAATCTGTAGCTACTAATTTCTAAATGACTAAGTGGTCAGTCAGATTTTAAATAAGGCATATATTTAGTTTTATTTTTGGTAACAGAAAAGTTAAATCTTTTTGCACTTTTTTGAATGCCATGAATTAACAGCAGGAACAGTATGGACAACAATGCACATATCAGCTGCAAATGCCGGTAATTGAGTCATTATTAACAATATTTTCTGTAGTATTGATCCTAGAATCTCTGACTGCTTCCTACTATCGCTGCTACAAGACTCTGTGCTGCTCTGTCCATCTTTCTCCCCTTTGTTAGAATATTTATGACATCAAAAGCCTAGATTTCATCTTATTTAGTTTAAAACACTATTTGATTTGTAATTTGGAGAATTTCATCTAAAACAAAAATGATCTGCGACAAGAACTGAATAAAGGTATGAATCTATAAAGTTAAATTCTTCTGTGTCCTCATTTCGCTACACCCCACTCCGCCAAACAATGCCCAGACTGTGATGCTAAGCTTCGTCATTCTTGTGCCTATCTGCAAAATCATCGCACTATATTATATATATATATATATATATAATAACTTTTTCGAGTGCAGAATTAAACAGGAGTCATGCCACTGCATTCCACTATCTCACTCCATTTTTGACTTCAAGTTGTTCTGTAAGCTCATCTTGAAAACGAATTTGTATCTTTGTTTCCTTAAGAGTCAAAGCCAACAGTGCAATGCATTTTGCTAGAATATTTAGATCTCGAATAGCCTCAATGAGTAATTCCCTATTAATGTAATCATATGCAGTTCTGAAATTGATAAAAAGATTGTGTGTGTTTCTATTCCAAATTATCTGTGTTTTTCAAAAATCTGCCGTAGGCTAAAAATCTACTGAATAGTAAATCTTTCCCTCTTAAAGCCGCAATGATTCAATATCAACATCAGGTAAAAGTATGTTTAAAACATTATAGGAAAGTATTTTATAGGATGTGCACAGAAGACTAATTCCCCTACATGTTTACTGCAATCAAATACATATCGCTTTTTGTGTATCAGACAAACGGCACTAAGTTTCCATTCCATTGGGAGTGTATTTTCAATATCAGTAATGTAAAATCACATTCTTTAGTTTCAAAAATTATTTTGTACAAAGTGTTATTGTAATCAAAATTTCTAATTTTTTTTAAAGTATGTAAAATAAACTATTTTAAAGCATATCTGTCTATAATTCTGGAATGTTTAATATTTATCTTTATTATTTTTAAGTGTAGTTTTTAGAAAGCAGATTGTTGATTATATAGTAATTAAATTTTACATATCAAAATAAAATTTAAAAATAACAGTTTGTTTAAAATTAAATATAAATATTTAATGTATATATATATATATTTGTGTGTAAAATAAAAAGTGTGAATGAAAACTATACTGAAATGAAAATCTCATAAAAACTTTTGTACTAATAGATTGATTTTTTAATATCACAGCCCTGATGATGCAGATAGTTATGTAAGCAAATTTGCTGTCCCTAAACCATCACAATTAGTTGATAGATTATTTACTGCATCTTGGAGAGGTTTTTTCTCTGCTCATCAAGTTTTCCGCCTTATGGAGGAAATGAGGTATGCTAATATAATTATTTTATAATATATAAAAATAATTTTACTCTTCTTGTTGCTGATGATACTTGAACATCTAAGGTATTTTCACGTAAAGTAATGATAGTATAAATAGAAAAACATTCAACTAATATGAATTCTGTCCAGTAATACCCTGATTTACATTTCCTCAATTTATGTCATCTGTCTCAAACCGTAACAAAGGTAATATTTAATCAGTTATGATATTTGTTCTCAAACTGGAATAAAGGTCATATAATTTTATCACATGTAACAGAATTTTTTTGTATATGAATTAATAACATGGTCATAAGTTCATTTATCTTCTAGAATTTGAGAACATAATTATTTTTGAGGAAAAGGAAGTTAAAGAACCTGATCAGTTTTAAAGTTATGCAGATGGTTAAATCTCATTCAAACTATTACAAACATCATTGGAAAACTGATTCCTATGAGCTGCAGTTAGCAATAGCGAGGAAAAAAATAGAAAGCATTCAAAGCAATCTGGAAAGAAGGCTGTTGAAAAGTTTGATATGAGGTTGTTTTAAAGGCAGCTCAGACTTTGGTGAATTTTCAAAGATTAATCATAGTAAGAAGATCATTTAATTTCATATCTGTTATGTAAGTTACATATATATGTGAATTAATGTTTTTTAGTTTGAGGTAAAAATTAATACTCTGGGATGCCCCTCTGAAATATAATATTGTATGTATGATAATATTTCTCTTGACATAACATAACCTTGAATTCTGCCATTGGTCTAGAAATAAATTAGTCAAGTGGAACTGCAGGGACTCACATTATGAGAGCTCTATGAGCATTTTGTTAGAGGGGACAATACTCTCTAGTCTCCTATTTTATTTGATGTTCCAGTGTTTGTTTCGCACCTTACTGCACTGATGAGCTTTAATGCACAATAAGGTGTCGATACTATGAATGTTGTATGATATATTTTTTGTATTAATCAACTTACATCCATACCCAATTTCACAAAAATTTATTATATGGTTCCCGAAAAATAATTCCAGAAATTTCTATAATTTCCGGAATTTTTATAATTTATTTTGTTAATAAAAGTGTCAGTACTTCAGATACAAATCTGCAAATAACACTGATTAAGGTATAAATATATGAATATGAATGTTTAATTATATACGAGTGTATAATAGTTTAGAGATCTATAGCAAATTTCCAGGTGTAATTTTCATTTGCCTGGAACCCTTTGTACCCTCCATGTGGTGCAAACAAAAATTCGTATGAATCTATTTCTCTTAGAAAAACCTCCATGAAGGCACCTTTTATTTTAGGCTGATAGCCCTTTACTGCTTTTCTATAAATTCATAATCTGTCAGATTTCCAGAACAGTTTTTTTTCCTTAATGAAATTTAGCAGACTTTGAAAATATGTATTTCAATACATATTTTTATTGATTTGTTTAAAGAATGTGTATTTATAAAAAGTGTACATCAAAATAGAGTCCATTTTAAAAATTACTTTTGTTTAGAAATTAATAAAATATTTTCTCTTCTTTCTTAATCTTAGTTTCGAAAACTTGCAGTTTTAAGTTAATGCAGCACAGTCAAAAGTCTTTAATCCGGACTCGTCAGGGCTTCGGCGATTCCGGATTATCGGTTTTTCTGGATTATAGATCATCAGTTTAAATCTGGTAAGATGGCATGCAGAAATTATAAAATTAAAAATATGAAACCGTAATTTATGAAATAAAAAGCAATTATGATCTAAAGGGTATCAAAGTGTACAAAAAAAAGCTTAATATTTATTTGTTTATTTTATTAAAAATTTCTTTTAATGCACGCATGCGTAAAGCATACATTACGCATAGTTGAAATTAGAAATTTCAACCAGAAAACTATTTGATGTGTATTCGTGATATTTATAATGACGAGGAATTTGATTTAAATCATATCAAAGACGGAGTACATTGAGAGGAAATACTACATTTAGTAAGGAATTATAAGCCGATTAAAATAAAAACATCTGCCTTGAAGATAAGGATAGTGCTGACAGATCAACTTCTAGTGCATTGCACGCCGGAAAGGTTAGAGAAACAAAGGATATGCCTTTATCCATTTTTTGCAGCAATTCCACTTTTTGTTTGATGGACATCGAAACATGCTTTCGCTTTGTAGATCCTTTGGCAGCTTCAGAATCGGAAATTCTTTTTGACATAATCGAAAGTTCAAGCTTACTTTTATAAAATTGCTCTAACAGTCTGCAAAAAATAATAAGCCGGATCCAATTAGAAGATCCAATTAGGAACAACGCAATCTGCAACATTAACTGTAATAAATAATTAGATAATTTTAGCTTAGCTTATACTGTCTGTTATACATTAAACACGCATGTGTAAACATATTATGTGCATGCATAAATGCATATGCGTTTACGCATGTGCAGAAGTTTGTAGCTTTGAGGTTCGGATTATGGACGTCTGGATTAAAGACTTTTGACTGTATTTTAAATAATCATTCTGTTTTTAAAATGTTTGGAATTCAGTATGTTAACTTTTCTTAAAGGTTTGTTGCAAACATCATAGAGTTGTGCTCTGTTTTCTTTACTATTAATTCTTTATTCTAAGTAATAATAATAAAAATTCAAAATAATCTTTCATATATTCAAGAAAATGGTTCCATAATTTCTTCTGAAAGAAGCGTGTATGAATAGATAAAACGAATTTTTTATAATTTTTTTTAACTGTGTCCCCATCTTTCCACATGCCTTTCTGGTATAACTGGATAACATATTCCACAAACGGAGATGCCCATTGTTTGATTTCCATCAAGGATTTGCATGGTTTTTACATTTCCTGCCTCAATAAACCTATAAGGACTTATTTAGTTTTATTAAGCAGTTATGTTAAGTTAATTTATTTTTACATTCTTTACCACTTTCTGTTTTCCTGCCAGAATACTAATTTCAAGTTCATGCACATTCAGATGAAGTAGAAAGAAATACTATTTAAAGGAAGCTTATGGATAGTAAAATCAAAACATGTTCCACCTACTGAAGGCCAAGTTACTCGTTGAATCTCTTGATAGCAATTTATATGCGGCTTTGTGTTACTCTTGCCATTAGGCCTGCCACACCAATTTTAGGTCTCGGCCAACTTGCCTGTGTAGGCTTTGGGCTAGAGTTACAATTACTTAGTTAAGTAAATTCTTTATATAACTTATTTTTATTCTTTTAAATTGTAATTTGCCATAAATGTTGCCCAGCTTTGTAAGCATAAGCTATGCCTTCTGTTAAATAAAAGGTTCTTTTACAGCTTTTCCACATCTATGTTATAATTTTCAAGACATGACGATGAGTCCCTTACATCTTACAGAATTCTCGTCTAATTTATATTACTGAAGAGAGTGAGACTATATAAACCTAATGACAAGTGGTGCCCAAACTAAAAGGTGATAAATGATAATTCATCACCACCAGGATTTAGCAACTAGGTCCACTCATCTTCAGTCACACTTTAAAAGGGAGAGTGTATAAGGTATTTTCTTCCTCCTTTCCATGTGCCTTCATGGTGTAACTGAATATCATGTCCAGTTAGCAATCGGGAGGTCCAGTGTTCAAATCTCGTTGAGGGAATTGCACATTTTCCATGTTTCCTGCCTAATGACTTAAGTCTAATGTATAAACCTTCTGACTCATATTTTGTTGCTCATCTTCATTATAATTGTATTTATTTAGAGTATTTCCTCATTAAAGTGCCTGGAATCAGAATGTTAAGTGTTTAGTGATGTTTGAAATTTGCTTGTTATAGATTGGGGGATTTAACTTTCCAGTTAAGCATGGCAGCCATTAAGGAAATAATTTTTAATGCAGATAAATTACTTAATCATCTTAAAATACGTAATTAGTAAATATCTCTATTAAAAACTGTAGATTTGTTATGGATTTTATAAAATTTCCATCTAAATAAACAGTTGCTCGTAAATAGTAATTTTTTTAATCATACCATTAAACTGTCTTATTTATTTAATATTAAGTGAATCAGAGGCTGTAAAGCAATTTAAAAGATGAATTTTTTTTCACAGCTTCCTTATTTACTTTTTATAGCTCAGAATCATTTGCATGTCTTGCATTGTTGGTTAATTTATGTTGTTTCAAAATTAGGTATCTTTTTTATTAACCTTTTAACTGTCATGCCTGAGATTGGTATTTCAAAATGTCATGCCTGAATATTACTCGGGCTAATTTTTTTGGAGGGGTCCATTGTATTGTTATACTCGAATGTATATCGTGAGAAGTTTATTTCGGCTTCAATTCAACAGATGGCAGCATTTTACTGATGGTTTCAAAGGATAAAGTTTAAAGTTCAAAGTGCACGGCATTTTTTTGATTGTGAGGCAAACATTTCATTTTTGGAATAAAAAAAAATTGACAATTTATGCATCTAAATCATCAAAATAACTTGACAGTTAAAAGGTTAATAACTAGCTGCTAGGCTGCCAACTTTTGACTGCCTTTTAAATGTACCATAAAAACCGAACATTAAATTTAAAACCTGCACAGAATTTTTATCAAACAACTTTATCAAAAAGAAATTCAATAAAAATGTATCACATATTAAAAATATTACAATGAAATAAGCAATATCCCTTAATACAAATATTAGTTATCCTAATAAATAAATTAACCAACTTTCCATTGCAAAATCTTAAGAATTCAAATGTATAAAGGAAATTAAGAACTTTATTTCCTTTAAAAAAAAAAACATGCAGAATGTTTTATATAATTAAATAAATTTTATATAAAAAAATACAATCAAAATAAGCAATAAATCTCATATTTTCAAGAGAAAACAGTCAGCAGTCCAATATCTGAAGTGATTAATGAGAAACTGTTGCAAAACCACATTTCTAAAAGAATGAAACTATCATCAAAAAGCAATAACCAATCAAAATTGTGCTTTGTGGATGACATAATTCAAAATATACAAACCTCTTTGAGAGAAAAAGAGGGGGGAAGGAAATTTTTTCTGCTGTGCCTTGCGAGACACATGCACGTCAAAATAAGAAGATTGCAATGTGTGTGTCGTATGTCCAAAAATCAAAAGAAAATAAGCAATATTTTATCTCATATTTTCAGTAGTCAGCAATCCAGTATACAAATCATTGAATGAAAAACTGTTGCCAAAACCACATTTCTAAAAGAATGAAACTATTCAAAATGATGCAATTTCATCAAAAAAGATAAAATTAAAAAAAAAAAAATCTCTTTTAAATTTTGAAAAAAATCACTTCGAGGTGCACTGGTTCTTGTCTAAATGCCAAATTTCGTAGCTCTGAGTTTGTTAGCTTATGTGCAGCACAAACGAAAAACACACAGACAGACTCTTTCTTTTATTATATGTAGAGACAATAATAATAATAAAATTGCCATTTTCTAGTAATAATAAATTAAAATATTTTTAACCCAGATTCTGAAAACATTTTTGAGCAAATTTTTATTGCTTATTTAACAGTAGAATCATACTTACTGTTGTTAGTTGGAATTTGAATAATGTTTCTGTATAAACTATTGTTCAACATTTTAGATTACTTCAGGAGAAAATGGTTATCCTTAAG